CTTGTAGGTTGGGAGTTAGAGCCGAATACACCTTAAATTTACTCGAAAAATGGCGTTTCGGGGGCGAAAATTCAAAACAACTCTTGAACCACCATGTGGCTCACACAGACAGTTCCCCCATGACAAATAGGACTTGTGAGAACTAACAGAATGTAACCCGGGCTCATAGGTTGGGAGTTAGAGCCGAATACGCCCTAAACTTAGTCGAAAAAAGGCGTTTCTGGGACAAAAATTCAAAACAGCCCCCAAACCACTGTGTGGCTCACACGGACAGTTCTTCGATGACAAATAGGACTTGTGAGACTTGACAGAACATAATTAAGATCTGTAGGTTGGGAGTTAGAGCCGAATATGCCGTAAAGTTTGTCGAAAAAGGGTGTTTCAGGGACAAAAATTTGAAACAGCCTCGAACGACCGTTTGACTCTCACGGATAGATTCCCCATGACAAATAGGACTTGTGACAACTGACGGAATGTAATCCGGACCCGTAGGTTGGGAGTTAGAGCCGAATACACCCTAAACTTAATCGAAAAAGGGCGTTTCGGGGGCGAAAATTCAAAACAACTCTTGAACCACCATGTGGCTCACACGGACAGTTTCTCCATGACAAATAGGACTTGTGACAACTGGCGGAATGTAATTCGGACCCGTAGGTGGAGAGTTAGAGTTGAATACGCCTTACACTTACTCGAAAAAGAGCTTTCTGGGGGCGAAAATTTAAAACAGCCCCCGAACGACATTGTGAGTCTCATGGACAGCTGCCCCATGACAAATAGGACTTGTGACAACTGACGGAATGTAATCCGGACCCGTAGGTTGGGAGTTAGAGCCGAATACACCCTAAACTTAATCGAAAAAGGGCGTTTCGGGGGCGAAAATTCAAAACAACTCTTGAACCACCATGTGGCTCACACGGACAGTTTCTCCATGACAAATAGGACTTGTGACAACTGGCGGAATGTAATTCGGACCCGTAGGTGGAGAGTTAGAGTTGAATACGCCTTACACTTACTCGAAAAAGAGCTTTCTGGGGGCGAAAATTTAAAACAGCCCCCGAACGACATTGTGAGTCTCATGGACAGCTGCCCCATGACAAATAGGACTTGTGACAACTAATGGAATGTAATTTGGACCCGTAGGTTGGGAGTTAGAGCCGAATACACCCTAAACATACTCGAAAATGGGCTTTCCAGAGGCAAAAATTCATAATAGCCCCCGAATACGCCTTACACTTAGTCGAAAAACTTGCAACACTTTGTTAAAAAAAAATAACTTTATTAAAATAACATCTACATATTCTAATAATTGCCTTTAGATATTTATAGGACGAAGAAATTACATATTACATTGTTTGTGCAATTGGTTAGAATAAATATTGCATGATACATATATATATATATATATATACTTTCTTTTATTTTCAAGAAGACATTTCTCGATTGTTCTACCTTAAATGAGTGTTAGAACATGTTCCATATGGCTGATTGAATTGATATTTTGTAACCAATTCTAATGTTTCGTTTTTTGTTTTTCTTTGTAGATGGCTTTGTTGCATGGACTTATAGATGATCCATATTGGTGTATGGAAAAGAATTTTCACTTTTGTGTAGAACTAATATAATACTTTTGTCGTCCTCAACTTTTGTGTAGTTCATTATTACTGATACAGAAAACTTTTGGCAATCAATAGATAATGACTGTCGTGGTACATAGATCACCTTCTGTCGTGGTACATATATACCATTTGTCGGCGTACATATAGGACGTTTTGTCATGGTCCATAGAAAACTTTTGTCGTGGTACATGTATCACCTTTTGTTGTGGTACAGATTACGATGGTAATTTGTACCATGCCAAATGGTAATTTCGCTTGGTAGTAAATGTATTTTTTGTATACGGAGGGCTTTGATTTTTGTATGATATATTTTGTATGGAATTGTTATTTTAGTTTGGACAATAGTTGATTTGTGTGGACTTTGATATTTAATGTTATTTATTTTAGGTATATGGATGCAGATTGTGGAATGATTGATAGTATGTATCATTTTGTTTATATACATATTACAGGTTGCATTGTATATAGACAGGTTGTGGAGAAATTATAATTTCACGATAAAACATAATATCATATTTTTGGCGACTAAACAATTAGTAGCAAAAAAGAAATTGGCAAAAGACATTTGGCGACTAAAAGTTTTGTAGCCAAAAAAAAAAAAAGAAGACATTTGGCGACTAAAAGTTTTGTACCAAAAAAAAACATTTGGCGACTAAAAGTTTTGTAGCCCAAAAAAAAATAAAATAAATAAATAGACATTTGGCGACTAAAAGTTTAGTAGCCAAAAGAAAATTAAACATTTGGCGACTAAAATATTTCGTAGTTAAAAACCAAAAACTAAATTATAAAAACACTTTTGCCGACTAAAATTTTAGTAGCAAAAAATGTAGAACTTTCGGCAACCAAATATTTAGTAGCCAAAAGAGGAACTCTTTGCCTACTAAACATTTAGTAGCCAAAGATGGGGACTTTCGGCG